AAACCCGAGGAGCGGTGGCATCCGTTGCATGATGCAAAAAGGATTGATTTCAAAAGTTGCGAGTTGCATTGGCAGCAGTCTGGGGCGTCGTGTCCACCTCCTTTTCCCCGACCCGATGCAAAGGCCAGGAGTGATTTCTTCAACCTGGCAGTGCTCGACCGCGCTGCACCAGCGGGACGCAATACCTGCTCCTCAAACGCAGCGGTTGGAGTATGCTGGAAGACAATGACCATGGAAACAATTTGCAGAGTGTAGGAGCCGAGGAAAAGCCACCTCTGCTCCAGTGAAAGATTTGAAAACATAAACGGCGCGTTTGAGTCTCATTGACTCCCATCATCTTCTCCACCTATTGTTTACCCCGGCTCCGGAGTTCACTGGAGCCTCAGTGAAATATGCAAATTCCCTGCAAAGTTTCTTGAACATTTTAATATGCTTGGTAGGAAGTTTGGGGGGAAAGCTTAAGGTTCCCCAGTTACATCATTTTGTTATTCACATGTCCCAGGAAACATGGCAGCCTACTCCTGTGTTTGCTTAAAGTGACATCAGTGAGGCAGCTTCACCTCATGAAATTGAAATGACTTTTCAGGTTTTCGACTTTCTAATGCATTGTGGATGTAAACAAAGTAAAAATGTGTCGGTGTAATGTCTTTTAGGGCTTCCCTTAAAACTGAGCAGGGTAAAGCAATGCCATACCAAACTTTTGGAGTGGGTCAGCATTTTCTGAATTATTTTGGAGCAATGGAACAGGGCTTTATGGGCGCTTTCAGGTTTTCACATTACAGAGTTGTCCATTTTCTTCTTGAAATGTTTGCAAGCTACCTAAGGTTTTAATCTAGGTGTGGATGCAGAAGTGATGCCACTTCCAAGACTGGGTGGATACAAGCTCCTCCTGTTTTTGTCTTTTTCTCCTTGACCTGTAAGATTTCAGAAGTGCATGGTAGCATTTTTCGGTTCTTTAACGTGCAATTAGACTTTTGTAAGATCATTAGGACTCCTGCGGTTGACAAAACCGGATTTGTGTGGGAACTTCCTGGAAAGAGGACACCTGCACACAATCACCAGGTACCACTCTTCGGAGTCCAGAATCAGGGGAAAAGGATAAAAATAGTTTTATCCCTCCACACCTTTTTAAAATTGATTGTGTTTTTGGCAATGTGATTTTTTTTAAGTGAAAATTTCATGATTAGAGAAAATTTGGTGGGGTAGGGGTTAGGTGAAGGTGACCTAGGACCCTATGCTAAGATTTGTGTGTCATGCCAAGGAGTAGTTTTAGCTCTGAAAAAGTGTTAGAGGATGCCCTCTCCCAGAGGGGAAACCAGAGCAATGTTCCTGGTTGAGAGGTCTTTGTACTAGTTAAGCCTGCAGATGTACTTGAATTGAAAGTAGGGGGAGTGTAGATAGAGAAAGGAGCTGATGTGACTTAATGTGTGCGAAGAAAAGGAAGAAGACCCCAAGTTTCTAGCTTGGGACAGAATGGGTAGCAATGTTTCTGATACTGGAACTCTTAGAGGGCAAGCAAGATTTGGGGTGAGTTCAGCTTTGGAAATGTTAGATTCCAAGCTCACAGGGTATTCGAGGTAATTGGAAAACAGACTCATGAGTTTGAGAAGCAAATCTGATTTCCATGTAAATGGTGTCTGAAGCCTCTGTGAGAGGTGGGATTAACCCAGAGGAAGGGTTCAGGAAAAAAGGGAGGAAGACATTGGACTGAGCTCTGCAGAACTTGGAAACAGAATGGCTGGGCAAGCTAGAGTTGATGAGTTCTTCCAAGACTGGAGAGAGCAAGTATCCTTAGAACCATCTCTTATTGCAGCCACCAGGGCTAGAACTCTTAAGCAGCTCTCAAATAGTTCTGGAGATGGAATCCAGAGCTTCACATGCTAGATAGCCCTGTATCTGTGAGCTACACCTTGGTCCTGAAATGGTTCTCTTGAACCCAGGCTGCAAATTGATTGAGTCATAGAAACCATGATTCATCTGGGGCCCAGATAATCTAGCACACCTCTTGTCCCTCTTCCTTTCTTCTAGATAGAGCTCCTTCCACATGTATTGCTTTGCTTGAAGTCAGCCTTTCTCTTGCTAACCTGTCAAACAGTTCTCTCTCCGGAGGGCTCACCCAAACTTTATTTCAGGGAGCCAACTCCCTTGGGTTCTCAGGTTCTGCTGGCTCTCTGGTTCCTCTCGGTAGCATTATCTGACTGAGGCTTATTTGAAATACCATTTACCAGCTGCATTTGAAAAGTTACATGTAGTATCTGTAATGAGTTGAATGATGTCCCCCAAAAGATATGTTGAAGACCCCCCCAAGCCTATGAATGTGGCCTTATTTACAAATAGAAGTCTTTGTAGATGTAATTAAGTTAAAATGAAATGAAGGCTGAATTAGAGTGGATCCTAAATCCACTCTATCCTAATACAATCACACCTGTAATCCTTGCTACTTAAGAGGTTGAGGCAGGAAAATTACAAATTTCAGGCTGACACGGGCAACTTAGTGATACCTTCTCTCAAAAAATAAAAAGAGCTGGGGATATAACTTAGTGGTAGTATACCTGTAGGTGTTCAATCCTCACTTTAAAAAAAAAATTGCATGCAAGAAAAGAGAGATTTGAAGATGTTGACACAGGAAGGCCATGTGAAGACCTTGGTAGAGGATAAAGTGGTGTAGCCAGGAGGCAAGGCACATCAAGGATTGCCAGTAAATACCAGAAGCTGGAAGAGGCACAGAAGGATTCTTCCCTTGAGTCTGCAGAAGGAATGCAGCCCCACTGACACCTTGACTTCAGGTTTCCAGCCTCCAGAAGGATGAGAGAACAAATGTCTATTGCTCTAAGGCTCCCAGTTGTGGTACTGTGTTGTAGCAGCCCCAGGACCCAAATCCAACAGCTCTGAGGTCTATGTTGTGGGGAAGGGGTGCTAAGAATTCATGCTTTATTGGGCTTCTCAGGTGATCCTGATGCCTCTGAGGAACACTCCCAGACTGGGTCTTTCTTTCTTAATTAATTAATTATATATTATATAAATATGTATTACTATTCATATTACACAATGGTTCTTTTGAACCCTGTATTCTGGAGTCCTCAAAACAGCTCTGGTTATTTGATTTCTCTATTGGTCTGCCTTTCTCATTCATTCATGACTCTTGCTATGCAGCTTTCCCACCACTTGCTGACTTACATTGTTACACACCCAGTTCAGGGGTCTGATGCTATCCTACTGTCAAGTCACAAGTCAGGGGGTGGAACTGGTGAGACTCTGGAAACTTCCCTGGGGTCCCCAATATAACGGGGGAACGAGGGGATAGGGACCTCTGAGAGGAGGCACTCCCTCCCGTTTTCCCTTGAGAGTATCTCTTTCCCTTTCCCTTCTAATAAATCCCTGTTGTGTGACTTGATTGAAATTCTTCAGACAACAGTGCAAAGAACCTGTGGGCACAGACACCCGGCCCCCCCTCACCTGGACTATGTGGGTGGATCTTGCCCTAACACTGTGAACCTTCCTAGCCCTGGAAAGCTTAAATGTCAGTCAGTACTCCATCTCCTACCTGGTAGTTCTAGCCTATCTTTACACCTGGTACCTGCACTTTACCTCTTAAGGATTACTAACTAGTCTCCCAAAATGATCCCTTTCTCTTTCCATTAGCGTGGATCTCACACTTAACTTTGCAGGCTCCCTTCCTAACCCCCTATGCAACTGCTTCTTTGACCCTCTCCATCCTCAAATGTCCAACCCTAGGATCTTTTTATTTTTCCCTAATACTAGGGATGGAACCCAGGGTCAGAGTTTCATCTCCAGCACCTTCCCCACTGCTTTTTTTTTTTTTTTTGAAATTAGGGTCTTTAAATAAATTGTTGAAGCTGGCCTCAAACTTGTGATCCTGCTGCCTCAGCCTCCCAAGTTGCTAGGATTATAAATGGGGCCCTAAGTCCTTTCTGTCCACCCTCTTCAGTCACTTGACTAGAGAAAACTCAGAACGTGGAGAT